GCGAGCAGGTCCTCGGTTCAAACCCCGGTCCAGGGGCCTTTCTGGGTGGAGTTTGCATGTTCTCTCCGTGCATGCATGGGTTTTCGCTGGGTGCTCCGGTTTCCTCCCACAGTCCAAAAACATGCATGTTAGGCTGATTGGTAACTCTAAATTGTTCCTAGGTGTGAGTGAGAGCGTGAATGGTTGTTTGTCTCGTTTGTCTCTATGTGGCCCTGTGATGGACTTGCGACCCGTCCAGGGTGTACCCCGCCCCTCGCACAGTGATTGCTGGACATGGGCACCAGCGACCCCCGTGACCCAAAATGGAATAAGCGGGTAAAGATAATGGATGGATGGATATATCCACCCAGTGGTTGATGAGATACTTTGCTAACAGTCACCCACAGTCAATGCCAATGTTTTAAAAGAAACTCTCATGTGATCTATGTGCAGAATACGTGTTGGGGATGACTCGGATACTATCAAACCAAATTTTAACTCAATACCTGAAAATTTGGCTGTGGCTATATCATGTATGTCACTACTTTACATCATAATCATTTTCAATCATAATTAATTTAATCTCAATGTTACTCACCGCCTGTTCAATAATCTGTCACATCACCCGCATCGGATGTTATCAGCCATTAAATGGTCGTTATTAGTTGTTATCATCTCCATGTGTAGCGGTCAGACTGCCCCTCCTGCACCACCTAGTGGGTTTAACGGTACGTTGTTAGCGTTGTTGATAATAGGCTCTGTTTTTAGCTTTGTTAGTGCTCATAATAGCTTCACGTGGTTTAGAGTAAAGGGTTTGGCGGTTAGGTTTAGGGTCTTGGTTAGGTTTAGGCACAAGGGTAAGGGGGTTAAGTTTAGGGTTGGTCCTCTGGGTCAGGTGTAAGCTTACATTTAGGAAAAGGGTTACATAAGCTGGGAAAAAAAAAAAAAAGGCATTTCCTGATTTACCCCCATGCGACGCTGCCTATTATCAGCAATAATAACAATAATAACATACCTTTAAACCTACTAGGAGGTAGGTGGGACAGTTTGACCACTACATATGGGGATGATAACAACTAATAATGGCTATTTAATGGGTTGATAACATCCGAAGCCGCTTGTCACGTAGCCTGTGTAGTGTATGTTAGTTATATGCAATATATATCATGTGCATTTAAGCCTATACTACCACCTGTGAAATACTTATTTATACAAATTCATCCTACTGGCATCATTATATTCTACCATCTTGTTTACTATATATCTTTTGGACCTTGAAAATATATATTTTTTTCACCATATGGTACTTTACTTTGTAGCCTTATTGCATTGCTTTATTTCTTTTTTGTTTGTTTGTTTTGAGAGAGTTGAATCAGTTCTTCTCATCCTGAACATTTCATCGCACTGTTGACCTTGTGTTAACCTGCATATGACAAATAAACAACATCATTTGACAGAGTTATAGCCATTTTTATGTTTCCCAATGTAGATTATCTGTGGTGGCCATCTTGAATTGGGTTGACTCCAAAAGTTAATCAGTCTTAAAGATATTTATGAGCTTCATTAATATCTGTTCTCTTTATATATATGCATACACTGTATATGGACATTTTGCTAACAGACAGCTTATGTGTGTTGCAACGACTGATGAGGTGGGAGAAGCAACTTTATAGAGAGTGCCATTGACCCCTCCTTGGTGGCAGTTGTGTCCTGGAGACAAGTTTTCAGGAGTTAATAAAGCTAAAACAGAGTGAGAAAGGGAAACCAACGTAAATGAGGAGAAAACTCAGTTACTAATGATGCTTGAGGGAGGAGGTGTGGGACAACTCATTGCCAGCTTTTAACATGTTCACAGCAGGGACAGACGGGGGGAGGAGATGAGGCGAGGCAGGAGGGGAGATGACCAGGGCCTGCCAATACGGATAAACATTTCATCCCACAATGCACAGAGTCACTGAGACTGGTGCCCCGAGGGGGTGAAAGGACGCAGGGAGGAAAATGCTAAGAGCAAAAGTAAAGGGGAAAAAAGAGGGGGAGAGCGTTGAGAGACAAGGCAAGCCTGGAAGGTAAAGGTGTCCTTAACTCTCACATCCATGGTGTGTGACGCTAACAGGGGGTGACATAAGAAACACACACACACTCACACACGTCCTCCGAGACTCACAGCGTTCACCCACTTACTCAGATTTGGTGTTTCAGACACTTCACTGTTACTGTACTCTCTCATTCCTGCTGGAGTGTTTCTTGTGAAACTTGATTTGTCACGACTAGACAAGGCGACTAAAGAATAAAATTAGAATAAAGAACAATTCATTCCTCGTCTATGCCAGTGGAGAGAGACAGAGCGTTGTAATGTTTGTACGTTAAAAAATAAGCTGTTCTTTGGTCAGCTCAGAGATCTAAATATATCCTCATAGTATGTTTGTGTTCAAGGCTAACCTAAAGTTCACTATTTGCTCTTTGATTTAAACTTATGCACACAGTAAAAATATACTCTCTGCAAAGTTTAGGCTCAGAGAAATGAGGTGTAATAAGCCTTTTCCAAATATGACCAGATTTCGATTTCTTGGGTAAATAACTCAGAGATGAAGCATTAAAGCACAAATTAAAGAGCCACAGCAGTAAGATAGACTGCAAGCTATAATTTAAATAAAGTGTCTACTCTAGACAGAGTTATTCGCAATGTGCAGAGGTAAACATGCAGCAAGTAAATGCAACAAAAAACTAATAGAATTTTTATGTTGCTTAAAGTGAAAGTACAGGAATTTATTTATTGAATCGTTTGAATGTTCCTGGTATATAAAAGTGACACAGCAGCGTGTGACTTATTGACTTTCACAGTCCAAATCCTCAGTCTGTCTTAAACTGAGAAAAGACCTGACATCCTGAAGTCATTTTGTTGTTTTTTGACACAAAAATACTTTCGACACAAAGTTTGCGACTGACATGATGTGTTGTTAATGTGTTGAACCAACTTGCAGGCAGACACGGGAGACAAAATAAAGTGAGCATTTATCTAAACAAAAACTAAACAAAAGCTAACGGGGCAACAAAAACCAGAGGTGGAAAAAGTACTGAAAATTTGTATTCAAATACAAGTACTGTTAAACTGCTTAAATTGTACTCAGTTACAAGCAAAATTACTGATGTTATAAAAAATACTTATGTAAAAGTACAAAGTACTCCTCAAAAACTACTCAGAGTAGTAATTACTTTTTAATCAATTGATGTTTTGTTGTGTTGTCAATAGAAGGCCTTCAGTTTGATTTACTGTATATAATAGATACAGTCAAAGCTCATTTCTCAGACGCTCAGAAGCTCCGTCTTATTTTAGTACCAGGCAAACTGATGGCAGAGACAATATCTAAGCTCTTTGCATACTTAGCCAAACTAATAACCCACACATACAAACAATAAAACAGCAACATCATACAGCTGTAAAACCTCGTATACATCAATATGTTTTCTGAGATTAGATGCTGAAGTCTTGTAAGCTGCCATCACCTTAGAGATCAAACAAAGTTTGCATCTGGACACTGTCTCCTTTTCTGTACATGAAAATTCCTCCAGGTACGACCACGGGCACTCATCCTCAGCCTTTACCTCGTTGTTTTCTGTGTTGACAGTGTTGTCCTCTGTCTCCATTTTGGCTTTTCCTCCAAATTTTCGGTCCATAAATGACTCTCTACTCTACGGAGTTGTTCTTTGCTTACATCATAGGTAATTGGCGCATTCGCGCTCTGAGAGCCTTATTGGCTACAAAGATGCAGATGAACGATTTGAATATTAATTCAAATTGTGGCCGTACTCAGTAGCGACTTCTGATTTTAAAAGTAGCAAAGTGGGTTACATGGTCTAAATTGTACTTAAGTATGAGTACAATTACACACTTGAATGAAATACTCATACAAGTACAAGTACCCAAAAAAGCTACTTAATTACAGTAATGTAAGTATTTGTAATTTGTTACTTCCACCCCTGGCAAAAACTTACATGAACGAATTGAAGGAAGGATCGAGGCTCAGACATGACAAATTCCCACAGATACAAAAATCTACATTGAAATGTTATCTTTTGAACGTGAGCGTTGATTTATTATACCTGGTGGTGTAGCAATTAGTTGTCACACAGCTGTGTATTTAGTTATTTATTTGGTGGTTTGTTTGTCTGTTGTTTTCTACATACAGACTGGTTTTTCCTCATGTTTGTTTCACTTTTTTATGTCATAAGTTTCATTTAGGAACTCAGTAAAGATTATTTTAAAAATAAATTAATTTATTTGTTTTAGCATTTCTTAACTTTTTCAGATAAGATGAACACTCACCAGAAAATTTTATGTTTAAAAGCAATCATATTAGTTCCTTTTTCCCCCTTTGTTGTAAAAATATTATATTGTTGTTGCTCTCTGCGTGTTTTACTGTGTATAGGCTCTAAATGAGCTGAAAAGGAGGTGGAATAAAGCATGACCTGCACATCTACAATCTGTCGACCCATGTTAGACTAAGCTTAGTTTGTATAAATCAAATTAAATTTAAATGATAACTTGATTTCATATTAAAGTTAAGGAAGTAACATTTACAAATAGAAACACAGTAGCTCCTATACTTCAATTGTAAAGCCTGAAGTGTCCCTGAGTGTGTGACTCTGGGTGTTTGTGTTGTCACATTAGTGTCAATCAGGCTGTTAGTCTTTTAGTTTGGATTCCCCCATTTCCTGCAGGAAGCAACATCCTCTCATCAGTAATGAACCAGCAGCAGTGGAGGCCAAGCTGCAATCTCAGCCCTGAGAGGCAAATTAATATTTGATCATCTCTCTTTGCCCTTGTGTGTTGGCATGTATTTGTGACACAAACAAACAAGACCATAGACACCTGTTTGTGTCTTTCGTTACCTTTATGCATTTATTTCCTATCCCTCTACTTTTTGCTTCCACTTTTTAATGTAATTTTAACTTCCTTCAGTTGCTCCTTTTCTGAAATGTTGTTTTATCTTTATTGATTTCTCTGTCTTCTGCTCCGGTAGGACTGCGCAGAGACAGAAGTTGACAAGAACAAGTGCTGCACCTTGTGTAACATGTTCTTCACCTCTGCCATTGTGGCCCAGTCCCACTACAAGGGCAAAACCCACGCCAAGAGAGTCCGCCTGGTGCTAGGGGAGCCACCCAACCAACCAACAGACATAACCAGCCCTGAAAATACAGGTACACTACATATTCCATCTGTGATGTCAGAAAGACTCAGTTTGTACACAAAGCCATGTTCCAATCTCATCCAAAGATATATTTCAATTAAGCCTGTTTGCATAGGAACTCAGATGGTTCAGTTAGTTTAGAGGAGAGCTTTTGTGGGAAAAATATTAAACAAAGCCTTGGATTTATTTAGGAATGAGCCTACACACTTAGTGTGAAACCTTTCTTTTTAAAGTTTTCCCAAAACTTCTTGACAGAACAACACAAGTCCCACTCGTGTTTATGGTGAATGACAGTTCACAGCTGTTTACAGGTTTCTCCTGAGACACTCTGTATCTGGTTTGGGTTTCCTGAAGGCACCCGTGTGTCTTCTCTTGGCTCAGTACTTTGGGTGGCTGCAGTGCTGAAAAGTAAACCTTTGCCCCTTAAAAGAAAAAGGGGAAAAAAACTTTTTACTTTGACCTGTTTTATAGTTTCCTGCCTCTGGACATTTTTTCTGTTTACACTGAGTTACCTCGCTGCTGTCACAGAAAAAAAAAAAAAAAAACATTCCCACAGAAAATGTGTCTCCATCATGATCAGAATAGGAACACTAAAGATGAAGCTATGCTTATTTTCTTATTTGGTTGGGAGTTTGCATCACATAATCATTTTGGTAAGTGTCCAATGTGCTGTAATGTTCTATTTGGTTAGCCATGTCTTCTGTTTCACCATTCCACCACAATATCCAGACTGGGGTGTTCCTGTGGCTCATTGGTTAAGTAGATACAACTAAATAAGACTGGAGGTTTATTGCTAAGGTCAATTGGCTGTGGCGTCCATGTTGAATTGCATTGATTTAAAAATAACAACAATGAGTTCTAGAGAGGTCAATCCGATATTTATTTTCTGAAAGTTTCATCCAAATCAATCACTTTGAAAACAAGCGATCCAGTTGACTCCAAATAGAAAGTGACACAATTTGAATCAAAGATCTTGTGTTTAGAATATATGTTGGATCAGTCTCAGCAACGACCACACCAAATTGTAGATCAGTACAAGTAAAAGTGACTACTATTTTTGTGTTTTTAAGGTCTGTTGTGGCTGTCATTATGTTACAGGTTGACCCCAACATGTATTCAGCTATTCAAGGATTCAAGATTTTTTTTATTTTCATACCAGATCACATTTGCATGTTTGTGGTACAAAATTCGGAATCAGATCCCAGGTCAAGAAGCCTAACAATTAAAAAATAAATAAATACAGTGACAAATATATATATATATATATATATATATATATATATTTGTCA